ATTGCAATAAATTATCTACTAGAAAAGTTGTATGAATAATAATGTATGTGATTATTTTTCCATATTTCATTGTATTATTATTGATATTTAAGTTTCAACTTGATGAGGAATATATCTGTTGGGGCCGCCACCAATGTATAAAACACATATTTTTATATACCTTGTTATTTTGTATTTTCTCTCATGCGTGGAATATAGACCGAATACAGGTACAAGCAATGTTATGAAAAACAGCTCACACTAAGGGGAGGTCATATATGAGAGAGGGAGGGTAAAAGAAGGAAGTTAATATGAATATGATTGATATACTTCCTATACAAGAATAAATACAGAATTTTTAAACCTGTTGATATCACCATAAGAAGGGGACTAAAGTAGAAAGGAGAAAAATAGAGGGGATGATCCAATTCAGGTTATAATACATATATTCATGTAATTGTCACAATGTAACACCCTATATAAGTATCTTAAACAATTAGAATATCATTTTTTTTTTTTTACAAAAACAGAGAACAGGAAGGCAAAACAGGTCCTGTCTAGGGGGTTGGTACTAGTTGGCAGGGGGTGGAATATAAGGAAAGGGTGTAGTGAGGTGAATATGGTGGAAATATTAGGTACACATGTATGTAAATGGAAAAATGAGACAAGTTGAAACTATTCTAGGAATGGGGCAAAGGAGGGGGGATAAAGGAGAATGATGGAGGGGGTGAATTCAGCTATGAAGTATTGTAAGAACTTTTGTAAATGTCACAGTGTCTCCCCAGTATGATAATAATCATTAAAAAAGAAAAAAAAATACTCTGGGATAAAAGAAAAACTAATTATATGTAGCAATGAAACTAGTTTTTATATAGCATGTTTTAATCAGTAATGACTTTTTTTTCTTGGCATTAGTCTTTTTACACAATTACTGTTGGTAATTTTATGATTTTTATACTCATTTTTTACTTCAGAGTTTGTGACTTGTTTTGAAACATCTGAAATATTTTTCGTATATAAGAAGTATTTCATTCTGTTTATAAATTTGTTTATAATGTTTGATAATGTTGAATATCTAAAATTCTAAAACAGAACTCCTACATGCTTAGTAGTTGCTTCTGTTTGAGTCATATGATTATTGTAGTGCTCTTAGTTATGTTTGCTATTGGCATTTCTGGGTGAAAACTGAGAAAAATACCTTAAGTATATATATTTATTAGGAGATATAGACAGATGGTCTTTATATTTTATAACCAGATCAAACTTCTCAAGAGGTCATTTTAATTCCTTTGTTTAAAATTTACTTATTTATGGAAGGTTTGTTGATGTTTTAAACTATTGTACTTGGGAAATTTTCAGGTTTATTCTACAGGAACTTCACTTTCAAACCCCTCCAAATTAAATGATTCAAAATTTACATTTGATTTCTGAGAAGGGAGTACTCCATAGAAGAAAATATTATGAAAAGACTTAAATTCTACTATTGACAAATTTGCCTGAGATATTTTTAACGTCTTTTTAAAATATATGAGAGAGTTAAAGAATTTTTTATTCTATGAGGAAATCCAGTTTCTTGGTTTTAACATGAATTGATGGTCTCTGATGGTACTTCATGTTTGTTTGTAGCATTTTGAGTTTTACCAGAAAAATAATGTGACATTTTCAGTTTGACCTTGTAATTTTTTTAAATTAGCATACAGCAACTTACAGTATCAAGTCACATCTTATTTTTAATTATGGAAATTCTTTCTTGTAAATTTTGTTCATTAACAGTTTTCATTAACAAAATTCATTCATTACCAAAATAGATTCATTAACAGTTTTTCTTTGTTGCTCTACTGCTGTTCACTTAAAGGAAATAAATATTTCTAATTTTATAGATCAGAGAAAAGATTGCACAATTTAGGGTATTTTATACATTTTTGGAAACTCGTAATTTGAGTTCCTACATTTCTCTAATTGTCTAATTTCAATGAGTTGTTCTATATTTGTGGTATCATTATCCACTTTCCTTAAGAAAAATACTTTAGCAGAGGTCTAGTGCTAAGTACACATTCTAATGTATCATTTTCTCTTTGTAACATATACCATGAGTAAGTGTTGACTGAAGTATGCTTGAATTTGGAATGCCTGTTTTTTTGTTTGCATATACACTATATTTTCACTCAAAATTTTAAGGAGTTCTTACGGTGTTCTTGAAGCTTTATAAGAAACTGAGATGACTCCGTTGTTCAAATATATGTGATAATTTAGAATTGTTTTGTAAACATTTTTATTAGTGGGATGGGGATTTCATTGTGACATTTCTGTATGTGCTTACAGTGTACCTTGATTGGATTCACCCCCTCCATAATACTTCCTCATCCTTCTTACCCAAATTCTTCTATATTCACACAAGTATGCAAAGTACATCAACTGTATTCACTCCTCTTCACCTTCCCACTGGTGCCTACTCACATATGTGACCTGTTTTAGATTCCCGTTCTTCATCTTTTAAGTGTATATTAATTGTTCAAAGGGGTTTTGCCATGGTATTTCACATGAGCACATTGTTCTTTTATTGCCCTTATTATCTATGAATTCAAATATTTTAACTTTATGGAAAGTATTTCTGCCCATTAACAGTAGTCACCATTTAAGTTAGCTTAGCCAATTTTCATGTCATCTAATATTTTTATTAAATTTCTTACTGCATTTCTTTCTTTTAAAGTCATCATGATTTTATACTTAATATTTGCATAATTTAGGTATTCAATATTTTTAAATTATTAAATCAATGAACAAGTGTCTTTATTTCTAACATATCTATTATCTACATATAATGACATTTTAAAGCAGCCTTTTAAAAGTTTAAGAAAAGTTATATATAATATTACATTTTAATTTTAGAACTCAATACTTAATGAACAATGACCACATAGAAAAGAAGATACTGTTTTTTGTTAAGTGAATTGCAACACATATTGCATTTTCTCACATATAAATAAAGGTTGAAGATTGAAAATTTTAGATAAGAACTTGCATTCTTATTAGTAAAAAGAATATGTTTTATCTCATATTGCCAATTTAAAGAGAAAGCTTGTGAAAAGCCTGGATTACTATATGATAACTTATGCATACTTTTAAAATTTGCCTTATAAGTGGCAATGAATTTATAAATAATTCTCTAGGAGTCCTTTCAATAATCCGTCTAGGCACAATTAAAAATTGAGGCATCTATCTGCAGCTTTACTAGAAAAAATAATACACCGCAACAGAATTTTATATTAAATACAGCAAAATCAAAAGTTCACCTTTTGCATAATTGTTAGCATTTATTGAATTGCATCAGCCATCATAATGTGGTTCAATCATCAAAGATAAAGAATAGAAAGCTAAAGGTGAAATAGGGCCAATTAAAAAATATGGAGGAATAATCATATTCATGAATTAGGAATCACATTTAGCCCTATCACCAAGGTAAATTCATTTGTTTAAAGCAGTGATGAGTAATCTTTTCTATACGAGAGTTAATTTCAGTATTAATGAAGATTATGAAGTTGCATTTCTTTTTTTTTAATTACATACTTTTGGGATCAGGAAATACTTTATCTTAAGTATGATTAAGCATTCTTTTATAGCATATCCATAATAGATTCTTCTTTTAGCTGAAGTATCAGAAATTACCTAAACACCTAATATAACTATATGTGGTGTGATTGAACGAATTTTGTTATTGAATAGAGTACTTTGAAGCTGGTTTATTTGATCTTATCTCAATTTTTGTAATCTGCTTAGTGGTAAAGTACTGTTTCACTTTCATTTAACGTTATAAATTTTATAACAAAAGGTTTAAAATTCAACAATAAATGAGAACCCTTTCTACAAGCCTTGGGTCACTTTAAAATAATGTGAACTTTGTCATTAACTTATTACTATTTGAGGGGGAGCAACTATGCTAAAGATTTAAATTTTACCTGAAAAATATTCCAGATACAATAAATGTTTCACTGTCTCATGTTTTCTTATTGTTGGGGCTGTCAGTAAAAATTCATAACCAACCATGAAAAATCAACTGATTCTCCTCCATTAATATTCATTAAAATGTTACAATGGAGGTAGGAAGACAGATGTGTGACTATAGATCTTCTTCCTTTCGTTTTCCATGCATCATTATTTACTGTATTTGTTATTTGGTTTTATAAAGGATCTAACTGTTAAGGAGAGGTGTGGGACCATGTCATATGGAGAGAAGGAAATGTCATTTTTTGGGAATGTGATTTTGGAGAATTGGAATTTTTCCATATATATTAGCAAAAATTTACAGTACTTTTCCAATGGTGATTGTTAAACAGTAATTGGAAGCTGTGGCAAATTAAACAGTATTTTCTATAGAGAAGGAATTGGTTAAACTGATGAGTATTTTACTTGATGTCAAAATGCTGTTGTCATCATTCAGGAAAAAAAGCAAACTGTAATACTTTTTAGGCAATAAAGGGATACTGCTCTTTTAAAACATATTTCTTTATAACTTATCAAAAAATTAACTTAAAAATGAGTACTTATTTTTAAAGCTAAAATCCTTGATCTATAGTTCAAAAGTGAGTAATTTTTCTTAACCATCTTTATAAATTCTGAATTGCAAAATGAGAAAATTCAGTTAAGCTCTGCTCATTGTGTCATCTATTACCATTATCAGTTTATTATATTTGCAAAGAATAATGTAGGTGAAAATAGTAGAGCAACTACAACCAACCAGCTTGATTTACTTGCTGGTTGTAGCTTATTCATCCTAATTGAGTTGATTATTTATTGGGTAAAAGTAGTGTTAACTGTTTCAAGATTATGGGTAGCCATGTTATTTGAACTATTCAGTTTGGAATTACAAACTTAGTGGCAGGCTGGAGGGGTAGCTCAAGTGATAGAGCCCCTGTGTAGTAAGCATGAAGCCCTAAGTTCTAACCCCAGTACCAAAAAAACAAAAACAAAACCCAAAAAACAAACAAACAAACAACAACAACAACAAAAAAAACCTTACTAGCAGATTGCCAAAGTTACAGATAGCTGGCTCATCTACAGGTACTTCTTCAAGGTACTCTGTGCTGGTGATGTATGCTGCCACTTGAGCTTGTTAAGGAAGCATGGAACTGATTTACTAGGCAGGGCTGTTTAAAGTGATCTTTTATAGTACATTGCATGGGTTTTGCAGTACTTTCAGAATATTTTTTTTTAATTCTGAAGGCACAAGTATTCTTATGTTAATTCTTAAAATTGAAATCTCATTCTAACGCCACACAATGTAATACTCTATTCTCCCATATGACCCTGTATATTTCTATTGAGTTCCCTGGTTTTAATCACTAAATTTTATTATACCTGCATTTTTGTGTCATGTTTTATTGTAACTCATATTGATATAAGGTCTATATATTATTTCCTCAATTTTGTAAGTACTATATAATAATATTTGATGACATGAAAATGAGGCTCAGAGAAGCTGTGTGAATTTTCTGGTCACTCCATAAAACAGATGGGTGCTATCAACAATAACTGCTTTTTTGCCACTCTTGAACCATTAGTAGGAATATATTTCTTAGTTTCTTTCTTAGTTTCATTGAGAATGAATATGTTTGTTTACTTATTCAAAAAAAATTTATTTATTTCCAGCAAACTAGAGGCAGACCTCTGTTTTTATGATATAGCCTTTCTTTGTATTTTTAATTAGAAAAGAAATAGAGTAGGATAAAAGAGAAAACGTAGAAAACAAGTGTCTTCTCATTTCCTTAATTCAAATTCCCACAAGTAATCATTTAAACAATTACTTTGACTTATGCTCTTCCATATTACACCTTCCTTATTCTAATTCAATCTGCCACTATTTTTTTTTTCCCTCAAACTCACAACCTTCCAGTCACAGCCTCATGAGTGCTGGGATTACTGGTGTACTCTGCCATGCCTACCCTGCCAGTATTTTAAATTATTAAGTTAATAATGCTGGTGGATGGAAAAACTCAAAACCTTTGTAGTCTTATTTGGAGAGATGGTAAAATTACAGGAATAAAAAAAGCCAATTAAGGTCAATTCAATTTTTAAAATTTTGGTGAACCTGGTTATCGTAATTTTTTAAGAAAATTAAATTTTTAGGTTATAAATATTATAACCTAATATAATATTTATATTAATATATATTATAATATATATAATATAATATAATATATATTTATCTGAATAAATATACTTCATATATTTTTATATGTTTGTAATACATTCCTAACCAGTCAACTAATATTGTCTGCAATAAAAGATAATTATTATATTTAGAAGGTCTGTTGACTAAAGGATTTCTTTTTTATTTATTTATTTTTTTGGTGCTGGGCCCAAACCAAGCACCTCATGTGTTCTAGGCAGGTGTTCTATCTCTGAGACAGCTCAGATCTGAGCTGTATCTCCAACCCCCCAAAATTTACAAAGGTCCTTTTTTTTTTTGTGACAGTACTGGAGTTTGAATTCAGGGCTTTGTGCCTGCTGGGCAGATTCTCTACCACTTGAGCCACACCTCCAGCCCTGCTAAATGATTTCTTGAGGTACGCCATGTGTCACATATAGAAGTAGAAATATAAGTACAATTGAGTACCTAATCTAGAGTCTGACTTCTTCAGATTCAGCCTAAAGTTTAACTAAAATTATTGTTTCATTTTATTTCTTTTTTAGACTATTAATATGAGAATTTAGTTAGAAAATTAATAAAAGTTAATGTTCTAGATTGGCTGGTCTAAATGCTAACCTCAACTGGTAATAGTACTTTGGTTAAAGGAAAAATATCCTGGCCTCTTGCAAAAGTGGGAATTTTCTCTGTGTAATAAAAAGATAGTAGGGAATGTTAAACTAGCGTTTATAAATTAGCGGTAAGAAATTTAGGGCTGCTGCTACAAAATTTAAAGTGAAAAATTAAAAGTTAAATGTCTAAATATTAACATAGTTGCAAAAAAAATCTGTAAGTGACCAGCTTACTTTAAGTATTTGCTAAATTTTACTGTGGTTTATTAAAATGTGCTGGGACCTAGGTTAGGGAGTGGTTCAAGTGGTAGAGTGCCCCACCTAGCAACCTCAGGGCCCTTAGTTCATACCCCAGTACCTCCAAAAAAAAAAAAAGAAATTCCTGGAACTTTTATCTTATATTAATTATCTAGATGAATAGCAGTTCCAAGGTAATAAATAGTCTTTGATATTGCCAGATAGATAATATATTGTAATACTAACCAAACAACTATGGACTTAGCTGAGCACTGTTACAAAAGGTGGAGACAGGAAGTCATTTGACACATTGATTTTTATTTATATTACATCATTGAAAAATGATGTGTCATTAGCCACTGCTTAGTAAGGAACTACTTTAGAAAATTTAGTTCCTTGTTTTAGAACATCTCATTCTGGCCATAAAATAAGATATAAGCAAAATACAGATACATTTCAACATGTGAATCACACGTTTCCCTTAAAACAGAAGAGTAATTTTAAGCCGGGCATGGTGGCTCATGCTATGATTCTAGCTACTTGGGAAACTGAGATCAGGAGAACCACAGTTCACAGCCAGCCCTGGCCAACAATTCAGGAGATCCTGTCTCAACCAATAGCTAGGCACTGTGGTGCACGCCTGTAATCTCAAGATAAGGGTGAGGCTAAGATCAGGAGGATTGCGATTCTAGGCCATTGGGCAAAAGAATTTCACAAGTCCCCATGGTAACAAAAAAACTAGGCATGGTGGCACGTGATTGTCATCCCAGTTTTTATAGGAGACTAAAATAGAGGAGGGTCAAGGTCCAGGTGAGCCCAGCAAAAAGAGAGACCCTATCTCCAAAATAATGAGAGCACAATGGACTGGAGGTGTTGCTCAAGCTGTAGAGCAACTGCTTAGCAACTGTGAATTCCTGAGCTCAGATCCCAGTACCACAAAACAAAACAAAACGAAACAAAACAAAACAAAAAAGAGTAAATTAAGATGTTTTTAGATGCTGAAAATGATGTAGTGTAGTGGGAAAGACAACATGTAAGTGGTCAGTAAGCACATTGTCTTTTAATCTAAAAACTTTTTAGGCACTTATTTCTGTACTTAAAATGAGCTAGAGTTGGATTGATGGGATAGAAATATGTTTAGAAAAGCTTATTTAACTTTGTCATTGGTCAACAGTGACAGTTCCTAGAATATTTATTAGTGAAAGCATGTTATATACTTGGGCTCATTGCAACTTATAAAAAAAGAATTCTTTTAGTGACAGCATATTTCTTCTTCAGGACAAAATTTCTTCAAATAACAGATTAATCTGTTTCTTGCTATTTGATTTGCTTTTGTGGTTATTTTGAGAGAAAGTGAAAATATCTTGGAAGTAGTTACTTATTTTTAAGAGTACTATCACCTTGTAGCATTGATTTTTTTTTTGTAGCATTGTTTTTTAATCTGAGTTTTGAATACTAGTTATAGACTTTCACTAGCATTTAATCTATGTTTAAGTAAAAATGATATGTAAGTAATAATATTTGAAATAACCAGTTGAACACTTCTGTTATTTTTAATTAAATTTAATTCTTTTGTAGATGCAGAAAATACTTACTTAATAAAATTTGAGGATGTATAGACAATTGACATGAAAGCTTGTTTGAAGGCTCTTGCAAGGAAAACTACCTCTCTTAAAGCAAATTCTTTGAATGTGAAAAGTTCAGTGTCTTAAATTAAAAACCCTCACTTTGGAAATGTTGCTTGCACATGGACTAGAAGGGAATACAGATATGTACATCTAATTTTTTTAGTTGATAAAAGTGTTATGAAGATAACACTAGTTTATTTAAGGCCCTGCAAGTCATGGTGATATGCCAGCCTGTGAATTAGTTTCTCAGTTTGTAATCTGGGAATTCTTGCTGTTATCCTTTAGGTTAAAGTCTTTGTAGTAAAGGTAGCTACTTATAGCAGTAGTTCCAAGGATTTTGAGCCCATTCTTCTGTTCAGCCCAAGCCTAGATTTCTAGCTTTTCTCTACCTTGGTTTCCTTTCCTCCAAAGTGGAGATTTGTTATATTTTTTATGTTTTGGCAGCTCTTCTTTAAAATTTACAAATTATTTTCCTCAGCCATGTGAAACTCATAACAAGGTTTGAAATTGCATTGTAGAAAAGCAAATCATGTCCTGTGAAAAAGTGCTAGACTCTGTGTATTTCCTTACAAAGAAAATTCTTCTGTGTCGTGGATAGTCTATGCTCAGTGTTTTTCCTTGATTACTTATCTGGGTTCCCATCATAGGTAATTGTCACTGGCTAAGACAGTATTGCCTCTTCATTGCCTACTTCTGACTTCTGTTTCCAATACTGCCTTTTCTTTTTCCTTTTGGTAGCACTGGGGTTTGAATTCAGGGCCTCATGCTTGCTAGGCAGGCTCTCTTACTGCTTGAGCCATCCACAGCCCTTTTTCGTGATGGGTTTTTTCAAGATAGGGTCTCTCGAGCTATTTGCCCTGATCTCTGTCTCCTGAGTAAGCTAAGATTATAGGCATGAGCCACCAGCACCTGGCTTGCATACTGTCTTTTTTATAGCCAACTGAGAATTCTTGTATACTCTCTTCTCTGCCACTATATAGTATTCCATTTCTTGAGAGGAAGTCTAGCAGTTATACCTCTCATCTGAAATTATAAAATTATCTCAAATAATAGAAGGCAAGGAAAATTAGCTGAAATTAGAAAATTTTTGAGGAGGTAAATTTAGAATAATTGGTATGGGAAAAGGTTGAGTGTACAATAAATTAAAAAATTCTCTAGAAATTTTAAGTTAAGGAATAAGAAAAACTTAACTTTGTATATTATTCCTACTTTGTTTTGTGGTATAAGGGAAACTTGGTTCCCTTCCTAGTTGTATAAAAAATAGTAACAGTAGCAACAATTATCAGGTACCTAGTACTCAGCATGAACCAAGCTGCATGCTACTTGCAGCATATATATGAGATCTCATCTAATCCTCACAGACATAGGTAGGTACTAGCATTATCTCAATTTATAGAAATTAAGAGAAATAGGACGCATTCACATCATTTTCTCATAATTGCGTAGCGAGAAAGTAATCTAATTCAGATTCACTTGGCTCAGAAGATCATGTTCTTAACTTCCCAGTGATCCTTCCTCCCCGTATCCATCCATCAGATGGTTGATAAGTTAATGACTCGATAAGTGTCCCAAAGACAAACTCTGTGGAGGTGTTCTACCAGGAAACTTTTTAACTCACAGAAGAAGGGGAACGAAGGAAAGTGATGAAGAGAGATTAAGAAGAAGAAGGAAGATTATAAAATTAAATATGCCTATAGATTTCTATTGGTAGTTAGTAAGATTTGGTTTTTAAGGAGAAACTGAATTACATGTCTATTTGAGTAAAGATTTACAGGTGCTTTTGTTTTTATTTGTATATTTTGTTTTTGTTTGTATATAATACAAGTAAATACATTTGTCTAAAATATTTGATATTTGTGATTTAGAATACAGATAACTTAATACCAGATTGCCATCAAAAGAAGATACTATTTGGATTTTTAAAACTTCAAGTTTTTATACTCATTACAATTATGATGATCTGTTTTATGCTGATTTATCAATTCACTTTTCAACAAATATTTATTGACTCCCTGCTGTGAGCCAAATACAGTGTCAAGGGTTGGAGAACGATCTAAAGACAAGTAAGACACAATCCCTGCCTTAGTAATCTTATCACATAACATGAGACAGTCAATGAAGGAAGTAATTATCTGGGCACAGCAGCTCAGTCCTGTAATCCCAGATACTTGGGAGGTGAAGATAGGAGGATAGTGGTTTGAAACCAACCCAAACAAAAAGTTAGCAGGGCTGCATCTGAAAGAACAATCCAGGCATGGTGGTACAGACCTATAATCCCCACTATACATAGATGTAGATAGGAGAATGTCAGTCCAAGGTTAGCCCCAGACAAAAAGCACAAGATCCTATCTGAAAAATAACTAAAGTCAAAAGGGCTAGGGCAATGCTCAAGTGATAGACCGTGTGCTAGCAAGCACAAGACCTTGAGTTCAAACTCCAGTACTGCCTTCCAAAAAGAAAAATAATTATAAGAATAAATTTGATTGGGGATATAGCTCAGTGGGAGAGTGCTTGCTTAGCATGCTCAAGACCCTGGGTTTGTTTGACCCTTAGCACACACACAAAAAAAGTGAGCCCATGGTTCTGTGCCAGTAGTGGGACTAACTGAAGAGGTCACATATGGCTTACTAGAAGAGGAGAGGAGGCTTTTAAAATGTCTTGAATTCCAAGTCATGATTTTTAGCATTTCTTTTGGTTGATTAATATGAGTACATCAGTAGAAAGGCCAGGGGAACCATTAAAAAAAATCCCAATGTGTGAGCTCACCTCAAGGATTCTGATGATTTCATATGTAGCAAGGTTAAGCCTGAGTATTTTTAAAAACCAGCCCAGTTTTGTTGCCACAGCTGGAATTACTCAAATGTTATCCTAGACCATGGTCTCACAGTGGTGCTTGCTTACAAGAATACTTTTTGATGTTTCTGGATAGAAGTCATTACTGGGAAAGGGAATATTTGAGACAAATCAATAATTACTTCAAAATGAAGACGTACATATTTGAAATACAAAAGCACATTTTTGTACATTAAGATTAAACAACTTCCTTTGTAAGACTAATCACTCCAGAGAGGCAACTGGAGAAAGTATTAAGATGTCTCTCATATTCTACTTAAAAATACTAAGTATATAAAATGGTTCCCATGGACTTAATACTCAGTCCTACATATTAATACTGGTTAAATATATAATAGAAGGTATGGTCATGAACAAATATATAATTACCAAAATATGAGAGATGAGGATGATAAATAAATACCTGAATATTTTCTTATAGGTTAGTGACTAGATGACAGTAAATGAATGACAGAGGAGAGCTTTAAAAATGGGAGTGGTTGGTTAGAAAATTATGAATTATCATTGAATATAAGATGCTAATTGATTTTATTTGCTCATAGGTTAGACCACACATCTCATGTTTTGAAATATCCCTATGAAGAGAGGAAAAGAGTAGTCCTTTTTTTGTTTTGTTTTTCAAAGTAGAAAAAGGTTTAGAATTCAACTGGTGATGTTTAAATGAATGTTTTAACTAGTGCATAGGAAACCTGTACACAATGAAGGTTTCCTGTGCACTGTCTGAAAGACTTAAAAGAATGATATTTTTGGTGTCTAATTCCTTTTATTTTATTTAGCTGTGTTTTATTGTTGAAAAAGTATGATCCAGACCCATGAAGTCAATGTTTCACAGTAACACGACTAAAGGTAGAATAGAACTAAACTTAAGGCTTTTTAATTTGATACCTGTATCTGTGCCCTTTCCATAATAACGCATTATATTGCCCTTTATTTTACAGGATTTTATTATTCTTGCATTTTCAATTTCCCAGTCTAGCTTTCTTTTATTTTGTATTACAATTTATTTCCTGAAGGTCAAGTAACCTGGTTTGGTTATGAAAGTCCTCGTAGCTTCTGGGACTATATCAGAGTGGCGTGTCGGAAAGTTTCACAGAATTGTATCTGCAGCATTGAAAATATGGAAAATGTCAGCTCCTCTAGAGCTAAGGTAAGACGATGATAATAATGTACATAATCTAATCATAAGCATTTTAACACAAACAGAAGATAATTTGAACTCTTTGCAAAGAAAAAATGCTTTTTGTTGTTGTGGTTTGGTTTTTGGTTAGGCTTAAGTACCTAACCAAATTTAATACCTTTCAGAGGCTTATTTCCTGTTTTTTTTTTTTTATTGCATGTAGCTATTTTAGAATGCTCTTGAGTCTTCACTGTTACTTCTTGAATAGCAGGAAGGTATGAACCTACTCATATTTCCTTTTAAGAAAAATGATAAAACTACTACTCTAATTTTTTAAATAAGCCAATGGCTCTCCAGCAATGTCCTGAGGAACCCTTGAGGTCACCAAGATCAATTCTTTAAGGGTTCATAATCTCAAACCTATGTGTATGTAATACCAACACATGTTGGTATTGTATGTTGTTTTACCTTCATTTCATGGTGTTAACATTTGCACTGCTAATGTGCAACAGTGGTAAATAAAACTATTGGTTCCTTAACACCAAGGCAGTGCCATCAAACTATACAAGTCAGTCATTGAGTTCTTCTCCACCATACCATACACTCGGTATTTAAAAAGAGCCATTTTCACTAAGAATTTCCATGATGGTGCCATAAACATTGATTTTATTAAATCTCAGCTCTTGAGTATGTCTTCGTATGATAATGAGAAAATGGGAACTATGGCCAGGCAATGGTACATGCCTATAATGCCAGCATTAGGGGAGCTAAGGCAGGACCATAGTGAGCTCGAGGCCAGCTTGGGCTACACAGCAAGACCTTGCAAGAAAACATCCAGGCTGTGGTGGCTCATTCCTATATTCCTAGCTATTCCAGAGACAAAGAATGGGAGGATCATGGTTTGAGCCCATGCTGGGCAAAAAGTTTAGGAGACTCCATTTCATCCAATAGTTGGGTACAGTGGCACACACTCGTCATCACAGCTACATAGAAGATGGAGATCAGGAGGATCATAGTTCCAGGCCAGCTCAGGGAAAAAAAAGTTTGTGAGTCACTGTCTCAACAGAAAAGGCTGGATGTGGTGATACGCACTTATCATCCCAGCTACAGCAGGAAGCTAAAATAGGAGGGTCTCACTCTAGGCTGGCCCAGGCAAAAAGTGAGGCTTGTGGATCAAGGATCTTAATATCAGACCACAACCTCTAAAGTTGATACAGGAAACAGTAGGGAATACTCTGGAGTTAGTAGGTATAGGCAAGAACTTTCTCAACGAAACCCCAGCAGCACAGCAACTAAGAGATAGCATAGATAAATGGGACCTCATAAAACTAAAAAGCTTCTGTTTATCAAAAGAAGTGGTCTCTAAACTGAAGAGAACACCCACAGAGTGGGAAAAAATATTTGCCAGCTACACATCAGAAAAAGGACTGATAACCAGAATATATAGGGAACTTAAAAAACTAAATTCTCCCAAAACTAATGAACCAATAAAGAAATGGGCAAGTGAACTAAACAGAACTTTCTCAAAAGAAGAAATTCAAATGGCCAGAAAACACATGAAAAAATGCTCACCATCTCTAGCAATAAAGGAAATGCAAATTAAAACCACGCTAAGATTCCACCTCACCCCTGTTAGAATAGCCATCATTAGCAACACCACCAACAACAGGTGTTGGTGAGGATGCGAGGAAAAAGGAACCCTCATACACTGTTGGTGGGAATGTAAACTAGTACAACCACTCTGGAAAAAAATTTGGAGGCTACTTAAAACACTAAACATTGATCTACCATTTGATCCAGCAATACCACTCTTGGGGATATACCCAAAAGACTGTGACACAGGTTACTCCAGAGGCACCTGCATACCCATGTTTATTGCGGCACTATTCACAATAGCCAAGTTATGGAAACAGCCAAGATGCCCCAGCACTGACGAATGGATTAAGAAAATGTGGTATCTATACACAATGGAATTTTATGCAGCCATGAAGAAGAACGAAATGTTATCATTCGCTGGTAAATGGATGGAATTGGAGAACATCATTCTGAGTGAGGTTAGCCTGGCCCAAAAGACCAAAAATCGTATGTTCTCCCTCATATGCGGACATTAGATCAAGGGCAAACACAACAAGGGGATTGGACTTTGAGCACATGATAAAAGCGAGAGCACACAAGGGAGGTGTGAGGATAGGTAAGACACCTAAAAAATTAGCTAGCATTTGTTGCCCTTAACGCAGAGAAACTAAAGCAGATAACTTAAAGGCAACTGAGGCCAATAGGAAAAGGGGACCAGGAACTAGAGAAAAGGTTAGATCAAAAAGAATTAACCTAGAAGGCAACACACACATACAGGAAATTAATGTGAGTCAACTCCCTGTATAGCTATCCTTATCTCAACCAGGAATACTTGTTCCTTCCTATTATTGCTTATACTCTCTCTTCAACAAAATTAGAGATAAGGGCAAAATAGTTTCTGCTGGATATTGAGGGGGTGGGGGGGGAGAGGGAGGGGACAGAGTGGGTGGTAAGGGAGGGGGGGGGGGCAGGGGGGAGAAATGACCCAAGCCTTGTATGCACATATGAATAATAAAACAAAAAAAAAAGTGAGGCTCTATCTCAAAAATAACAAGAGCAACAAGGGCTGGAGGCATGGCTCAAGTGGTAGAATGCATAGAGCCCTGAGTTAACCACCCCCCCCACAAAAAGAAGAAAGAAAACAACAAGTGGGAAACATGCATAGAATATTTCTGTAGCACATTGAAATATTATGGTTACCTGAAGTAAGGCACTTACACAGTTGTCTGAATATTGAGCTGAACCAAGCATTTCTCATGTTATACTATTTTTACTGGAAAGAAATTTACAACATGTAGTTTTTTAAACTTAAGCATTTGGTAGACATTTTTTTTAAAACTGAAAGAAATAAGCTTTCTTCCTGAAGAAGATATTTCAGGAAACAGCTAAAACAGTATTTGTTGTCAATTGCTAAAATTAAACTTTTAAGCAAAAACTAGACTTTTGGAAAGTTTGTATTCACTGCCTTAAACTTGACAAAGGGTTTTCTGGTAACATTGATGTCAATTGATATTAGTAAGTGTATTTTAAATATTTAGTGAAATTGTTAACATTGATGAAATGCACCTCCCAAATGACCAATTCATGGAATTATAAAATCATGCATGGGTAAATGATTAATTCAAAGTACAAGACTGAGCAGTGGATTTAATATTAAATATAGTATTAAAAGTTCATTGATTTGGTTACATATTTCATGTTCCAACTAATTTTTGAGAGACTGTTATTAACTGAATTTTGATTTAGAATCAAGGGAGCTTATTCACAATTATCTGCAAAGGCTATTAAAACACTCCCTTTTCCTACCGTGTATCTGTGTGAGGCAAGATTTTCTTTATAGACTTCAAACAATATATGAAATTACGGAATTCAAAACCAGATATCTAGTTCTCTTGCGTTAAGTCAGACATTGGAGAATTTGAAAAAATATAAAACAGCCACTTTTCTCACTAATATTTAAGAAAAAAGGTGATTTTTTTTCCCCTAAAACTGAGCTTTTAGGTCACTATAATAATGGGTTATTATTTTTTACTTACCTAATACTATGAAATTTTCTAGTTTTGATTTGTAATACAGATATATATTAATATTAATAGATATGTATCTACAGAATATTAATAGATATAATCTACAGAAAAGCTCTTTCAGGGTCCTCAATAATTTTTGAAATTGTAAAAAGTCTGAGCTGCTGATATAAGATATATTAGCTTAGTTTAGGAATTTTATCGATTTTTATAAGTGAAAATTTGTGGCCCATAAACTTCCTCATTTTCAAATGTAAAGCTGAAGACATGACCATGACATTCCAGAGAGAGTAAATTTTTTGAACTAGCATTTTCCGAAAATACAGAAATTAAAGAGAAGTTAGTGAACATTGTAAATACAGCATTTTTACCTGTATTAACCAAAGAAATTCAAACTTTAGCTTCTCAACTATCTTAATGAGGCTCTTGGGACCAGTCCCAGTACAACAGGATATGGTGCCCAGCAAAGTTAATGTTTATTTTGTAAAGAACTAGTGTTGAGTATCAAAATGCCACAGAAAAATCATGTTCGAAGTCCTGTGTTTTTATCTTTGTATTGCTCAGCCCTTAAGTGGATTCCAGTTAGTAGAAGAGAGATCTATATTTTACTTGGTTATGTTGGGAGAAATCTGTGGGCAAGGATTAGATCTGTCTTTATTTGTTGCAGTGAGAAGAGCAAAGTACTTAATCTAGTCAATAAATCACATCCATGAAGTGTCAGGCTCAAGAGATTAAACAAACACCTCAGATGGCAGGTTTATTGAGCTATAGAGCTACAGTGTTTTTTTTTTTTTTTTTTTTTTTTAAGAGCTGCAGTCTTAAATGACTCCTAGCATATGTAGCACTGTCATCCCATCTTGAAATATATGAAACAATTTACCAGACCTGAAGTGCACCAAAATTACCAGATAAACAATATACGAATCAGAGTACTTGGGACCAAAATAGTACTATATATAGGGACAAATTTACTCTGATTACACTTTTATATTCATGCACATATTTAAGCAATGGAAGACATAAATAGAGAAAGGAACAATGACCAATTTGATATAGAAACATTCTTTTTATTTTTAATTTTTTCAGTGGTACTGGAGTTTGAAATCAGGGCCTTGCACTTGCCAAACAAGCACTCTGACAGCTTAAGCCATGCCCCTCAGCCTTTTTTTGCTTTAGTGATTTTTCAAATAGGGTCTCATGCCTTTTGCCCAGGACAGCATCAGATGGTGATTTTCCTACCTGTATCTCCCACATATCTTGAATTACAGGTGTGAGCCACTATACTCGGCCTGGAAACATTCTTTAATTTTTTTGTGTGTGTGCAAGTGTGTGTTTTTGTGCATGATGGTGGGGATCGAACACCGGGCCTTGTGCATGCATACTAGCCAAGTACTGCTGGGCTATACCCCAAGCCCTCTTCTTTAAGTTGATTTGATTGGAATTATCTGTGTCCTGATACCACTTTGCCACTTAGACTGATATTATAGAAATTTGTCACCATAAGAAATCTGATACTTAGTCTGTTTAGGTTAAAATGAAATACAAATCATTCTCTTTCTAAGCCTGAGCTGTGACGAGTCTATTTCCCAAGAGTTAAATATAACCTAAAAATTGAATACAATACTTGAACTGAAGAGCATGTCTACAATCTTTTCACCTCAGCTATATTTGTAGTGTTTCTCTCTGTAATATACAAGGCTTTCTAGACATGAGATTTCTATACCTAGGGTTAGGTTTCAGACTAGAGTCTATACTTAGAAAAGTGACTTCCTATTTATAGATACAGACTTACTGAACTCAGCTGAATCTTCCTTGTGCTCTTGGGCTAATTAAATTATTGACAAGCATACTATATGATCTCTAACAAAAATAACCCCTAACTGAATTGTTAGTTACTATCATTACTGACTTTGTATGTGTTTTTCTTGGGTTTTCTTATTATTCCAACTGTTTTCAAGTTAAAAAAAAAATCCTTTCATTACCTTCCTTTTTTTTTCTCCCTAAGACTCAAAGTATGAGCTCTATATTCTTCTTGAGTTATTTCTAACTTCCAATATGTTTGTATAGGGTGTTTTTCTCTCTTTCTGTTTATTTTTGAGAGGAGTTCAAGACTGTCTCAAAAAAAAAAAAAAACCAGAGAAAAGAAGGAGATGAAATAACTGAAATTAAGACCCTATGGGTGATTAGAAAAAAAAGGACTATAAAGTTTTAAATATTACAATAGATTACCCAGGAGGCAGAAACAAGTAGATAGCAAGTTCTAGGCCATACCAATTAATGAGACCCTGTCTCAAAAAGGTAGCACACTTGCCTATGTTCAGCCCCTCATACTGGAAAAAAAATAAACTAACCATAAAATATATATTCTTATCAAATACACAGTACCATTTTCTGAGCTATAATTCATCTTAATGAATTTTAAAGGACTAGAATCATATAAAATATGTTCTCTAACCACAGTGGAATTAAGCTGGTATCAATGACCAAAATAATGACTGCAGAATGCTTTTATGAGTAGAAATGAGAAGGGCTGGGCATGGTAGTGAATTCCTGGAATCACAGCACTCAGGAAGCAGAGGCAGAAGGATCAAGAGTTCCTCATATAATAAAGTAGAGATAGTATTGGAACTAAATTGACACAATTCTTGAAAGGAATAACTGTGCTAGTGTCCATGAAAGTCTGTAAACAAGACCTGTAACAAATTCCACAATTCACCATTATCAGCTAATAAAGCCTAATTAGCATTAGCTTTTCTACTTCTCAGCCCCAACAATCTTTATAAAACTATTTATCTTACAGTAAAAGTTCTTTGATTGAAGAAAAAGAAACCACTAAAATTAGCACATTATCACAACAGAGAATTTCAGAGGTATCCAAGGATAGGAAATTATTGCAGCCCAGTTCTATATGGATTGGAATTAATGTATCAGGAAACAGGACTTTTCCCACATTTCTTATCTAGCAACAACGTAGTCTTCTCTGCCTAATTTTCCTAGATACCAACTTTCCCTGCTTCTGTACTGGTGACATTGTAGGCTTTTGATTCAAGACATTACTATTAGTTTCTGTGTCTTTTAGATGAAATTTCGAGAGAGAATCTTGAGACTGCTGGCCAGCCAGAGTGTTGTCTCTTCCTTCCTCTGTTCTAATCAGCCACAGTTTATTGTAGTTTGCCCTAGGTTTTCTCAGCAAAAAATAATGGGTTGAGCACAGGGCATGTTGAAAGAAGACGGTGAGCTTGGTAGGCAAATTCACTGTCTTCTGACTATACTTTCTTCTTCCGTTTTCTTCCCAGAAGTGATGCTGCTTCTAACCCAACGACTGCTTTTATCACTGCCTACATTGTCTCCTTTTTGACCTTTCTTATGCAAGAGTTTGGTGAATTTACTACACCAATAGATATTTTCATGCTTCCCCCTCACTTACTGTTAGCTGAACATCGTACATATTGATTAGTGTTACTTTCCATATATTTAATCTTCGTGAGTTTTTCTGGAGATTCGTGAAAGGGTTAAGTGAAAGTAACTGAATTTTAAAATTGTTTTCAGGTGCCTTGTTAACATAGTAGGTGGTACCTCAGTCTCATAAAGTTCTCTCTACAGATAAGATCTCTTATATTCCTTTATTCTAAATAAAGAATCTATAAGAAATGCTTTGGAGTATTACAAAAGGACTGGTTAATCTCAATTACTAAAAGGTGTTAGCATTTTTTTCAGTAAAATAGAAATAAGTAGAAATTATTTCTGCTAGAATGTGCTGATTTCTGGGGTTATATTTTCACTGTGCTGGGGAAGGAACCTAGAGTCTCACATGCTAGGCTAGTATTCTATCTGAGCTACATCCTCAGCCCCTAGATTTTATCTTGTTTGGTTTTTCTAGTTTAAATATTTGTAACAGATTTCAAATTCTTGGAAGATTCATGATTTGGGTGCATGCAATTTTTGGCTTCATAATCCACTGCATAATAGCACTTTCCAGAAGGATAGATTGGGAAATTCTCTTGAAAAGGTGGGTTAGAGTGATTATAATTACAGAGAACTCTGTTCTTCATGTGGACTTTGGGTATTGAAGTACAGTTTTATCTTAAAATTATATCATTCAAAATAAGTCTCTAACCTAAATAACTATTACTATTTTGTCTCATCAGAGGATAGAAAGTTAGTTTGATATGCTATGCCCTATACCTTCTAAGAAACAAAATACGTACTCGCTATAATCAAAATTTAACTTTTTATCTGTTTTTCTTAGTCTATTAAATGTTGTCTTTTGAGTGAATTGTTCTTTATGTGTTAAAATGCTTATATTTTTAGTGGCATAGTGGGTACATTATTTCTCAGGTTTTTTTTCATGTTTGATTCTTTCTTCTTCCTTTTAGGGTAGAGCCTGGATCAGAGTAGCACTCATGGAAAAACATTTATCTGAATACATCTCTACAGCTCTGAGAGACTTCAAAACAACCAGGTTTTAAAGTCTTATAATTTCTTAGTATTTCTCTGAAAGAATCATTTAAAGACTTAGAAATCAGAATAAAGACTCATTTAGTTTCTGAAATCCTCAACTTTTATTTCCTCCACGTTTCTTAGTACTCAGATAAATCCACTGGTTTCTCAGGAAAATGTAATTAGTCAGCTAAACATACATTTATCTGGGTTTATGTAAAAGATACACATTATACCTAGAATGTCCTTTTTCTGAATGATTTCTGATTCTTACTCTTTCAACACTTGACGCTTTATTCTCCCCATAATTTTTTTCCCTTTCCTCTTTTTAAACCACAGTGTTTACTTTATTTCTTTGCTTGTTAAGAATTTAAATGAATCATTTATTTCTTTAATTTATATATATAATTAATGCTGGCTTGGTTGTCTTTTCAGGGCAGTTGATACCAATGTCTTTCTTGGATTATATAGATTTAAGAGATGACATACAGTACCATGTGAAAAATAGACCCTGTTAACTTTATATTATGGTAGAAAAAAAGGTTCATATTAGGGGAATAATTGTTCATGTTTAGCTCTGGTCTCCTGATCTGTACTTGTCTATTGACAAATACATTTTCCTCCCTGTCAAAAGTATTTGTAAAGGAAAATGTTGAATAACTTCATTACCTTAGTCACATACAGGTTTACTAACCACAAACCACTATATGAGTGTAATTAGTACTACCCAAATTACAAACTTAGTTCTTCAGTTATGGTATCACATTTCAGGTACTCAGTAATCAGATATGGCTAACTAGATAATATAGATAAAGAATATTTTTTTCTTATAGAAAGTTATATAGGACAGCACTATCTTAGATAACTCTAAATTACCAGACTTATTTGTACCTTACTAATCATATTTCTGAGACAATTATGATGACTACAAACCAGCTTTAGTAGAGAAAATTAGGCACAGAGAACTCATATATCTGGACTCTTATCTCCATTTCCTGATACAGTTGTTTGACAATGAAGATTTTGAGATAATCTTGGCACTTACTATGACATATTCTTTTAGCTAACTGGTACAAATTACAGTATCTTTACTTAGATATGTCTGTCTTTGTAAACTTTTAATTTGGGAAGTACAAAGAAAAAATTATCACAATAATAAATTTGATGAGGACAGAAAGACTTTTGGCTCTAAAAAGTAAATCTGTATCTAGTTATTGAATTCTTTTTTTTAGCAACATGATACTCTTGGGAAATTTCTAAAAATAAACAGTGAAATGATTATAAACTCTTAGACTTTGAAATAAACCTGGTGAAATATTTATTATCACTAGATGATAAGTTTAATTACAAAAGATAAACATTGAGGATACTAAGGCTTTGAAAATAAAATTTGAGCATAGTATCAAGATTTAGTAGGTAAAAACCTAAAAATCCTAAATTAATGAAATGCAAACCTGTTTTATGAATTAATCATCTCATATGCAGTTACAATATTACATGTTTTCTAAATAGAAATTAAAACATTAACTGTCTTTCTTAGTCATGTTCCTTAGTTTAAATTATTGGGTGGAGTAGAAATAATACTTGAATAGATTATTTTTAGAACAAGTAGTTTAAATATTTAAAGGGAAATGTTTTTTGCCTTGTTATTAAGTGTTAGCTGTGCTTTTTGGTAAAAAGGAAATGATTCAGCTCTAAAAAAGGCTATGAAATAAAAACATTCTTATAATAATACATAAATATACTCTATTCAAACAAATGTGGCTTAGTGGATATGCATATATATATACATACATATTTGTATACACACATTTATGTGAAAACCAGTGTCTAAATGTGAATATAATGGCTTGGTAATTCCTAAGAAATGAAGTAAGTAGTTATTTCAAAATTTTCATCTTAGATATGAAAACAAAATTTCTCTTTTTTCTATTTATACTATTACTTTTACTGAAATAAAAACCAAAGAAACTTTTTACTTAAAAACAAATTTGAATACAAACCTGTGGTCAAGCAAATATATTTGGAAAATTAGGTTTGTAAAACATAAATAGAATACTGGAAAGAGTAGTTTTACTTTACCTTTTATCTGGATGCTTCCTGAGGAAAGTGCTTTTAAAAGGAGAAATGATCTCTAATCCTTTTGGATCTTGAGAGGATCTGAATCCAGTGGACTTCTGTGTGAGTTCACAGACAAAGGGTACTGATGACCTTTAAAATAGTGGTAGAAGTGTTCATCACAGCACAGGAGGAGGAGCTACATGAGCTAATGCAGGCCGCTTGGAAGGTACTGTTTGAAAATCCAAGGACACATAACAAGTGGAAGAAGGGGTGGGGAGCAGAAATACAGTAAGTTTTCTTGGAGTACATAACTATGGCTCCAGAGCATTAAAGAAATTCATGTGATCTTTTGACTGAGGTGAGGATGTCTTGGGGAGCAAGTGAAAAAGAAAAGGTAACCTTGAAGACTTTTATGCTTTAGGGATTTTAGGTGTTACTGGGAGAGCTCCAGAGTTCAGAAGTTGGAAGAGTAAAGATTAGAATCTAAATTTAAAAAGAAGTGGAGAACTGCTTTGGTAGGTTTCTGGGAATAACTACAAATGAGAAGTAAAGTAAAAAAGATTAATTTGCTCAAAGTTTTAATTTCTCTCTACTCACAGAGTGAAAAATAATTAGAAATATTAAACTAAAAATTACAAACATGGTATTTGAAACAAGATTAAAAAATTTTTGGAAAGAATTTGAAGTAACAAATAAGGACACATTTGAAGTAACAGATAAGGAAAATATAATCATAAAGTTAGCTTTATGGAAACTAATGTAGTGACACCAGAGTTATGTTCTGGGAAAATGCTTATTTTCATAGTATTTTAATACAAATGAAGGATACAGTATAAAATAAAACTTTGTAAGTTGCTGAGCTGTCACAGAGTTGTATGAGTTGATAAACACTGTTCTCAATTTTAAAGTAGCTGGGATAGTAATTTACCAAATCTTTCAAGAGCCATGGAAGTTTTAGATCTGAATATGCTAACAGTTTTACATTAAAGCAATTCTCCTTTAGCCAAAGATTTGCTTTTCACAATTTCAGTTACCCAACATCTGAAAATATTGAAAGGAAAATTCCAGAAGTAAATCATTCATACATTTTAAATAACTTTTCTACAGTCTATTGTTAACTGTTCTATTTTATTATTATTGTTAATTTCTTACTGTTGCCAATTTATAAATTAAACTTAGTCATAATCATGTACTATGGGAAAAAGCATAGCATATACAGTTGGTTCATGACCTTTGATAGGGTTATGTTTACATAATTCCTTGGTAAGTTGAGAATAATTGTACATCAAAAATGCACTTAATACACCTAATCTACCAAACTTCGTAACTTAGCCTAACCTAACATTCTCAAAGTACTTAAATTAACCTACAGTTGGTAAAAATCTTTTCACACAAAGTCTGTTTTGTGTGGTGACCATGTCATTGCATGGCTGACTATGAGATGCAGTTTGCTGCTGCTGCCCAGCATTGCAAGAGAGTATTGTACTGCATATTGCCAGTCTGGGACAAGAGCAAAATTCATACTTTGAAATACAGTTTCTCCTGAATGCATATTGCTTTCACAGCATCCTTAAGTCAAAAAATTAGAAGTCAAACCATCGTAATTTGAGGTCTTTCTATATAGACTTTGATATTATCCATAGTTTCAGGGGTCTTAGTATATATCCTGCATGGATAAGGGGAGGCTAGTGCATTAAGATGAAAGCACAAATGTTATTAAAGGTGACTTTTGGACTGGCAACTTCATGCCCTATACAAAAACTCCAAATGGATGAGACTTAAATATAAAACTCTTGGAAAAAAATAGGTATAAATTTTTGTTTGGATTAGGCAGTGGTCTCTTAGGTTAGCAAATATACAAAGAGCAAAGGAAAAAATAAATAAACTTGTCATCAAACTTAAAAACTTTGTGTTTTAATGAACAGCATCAAGAAAGTAAACACATAGAGCTGGTGGAGTGGGTCAAGTGATAGAGCACCTGCCTAGCAAAGACTAGCAAGCATGAGACCCTGAGTATAAGCCCAAGTGCTGCCAAAAAGAAAGTAAACACATGACCCACAAAATGGGAGGAAAGTTTTATGAATCATGTATCTGATAAAGGACTTGTATCTAGAATGTAACCATAGAACTTCTACAACCCATTAAAAAAGACAACCTATTTAATAATGGGCAAAGAATCTGAATAATCATTTCTCCAAGTAAGGTATACAGATGCCTAATAAACACCAGGATGAAACCCAATATCATTAGCCCTAAAGGAAATACAAATTAAAACTACCATTAGATACTATTGTAGATGAAATAAGATGGCTATATTCAAAAGATCACATGATAAAAATGTTGATGAGAATTTGAATACTATTGGACCCCTCATACATTGCCTGTAAGGAAGTAAAATGATGTAGTCACTTCGGAAAAGTCTGGCAGTTCCTCAAAATGTTAAACATAGAACTACTATATGACCCAGAATATGCCTCCTTGGTGTAGCATGTGTATGGTTGGTGTGGATCTACATATCTCTATTTGTGTATCTATTTCTTAGAGAATTGAAAACTTGTTTCCAAAAATTTTATACACCTACACCTATGTTCATAGCAGCATTATTCATAATAGCCTAAAAAAGAAAATATCCGAATGTCTGTCAACTGATGAATGAATAAACAATTGTGGTATCCATTCAATGGTATTCACTCATCCATAAAAAGGAATAAAGTACTGGTATATGCCACAGTGTGGGTGAACCATTAAAAATGCCAGATCAAAGAAGTTGGTCATGAAATATAATGTATAATTCCAATTATGTAAAATATCCAGAAAATAAATATATAGAGATAAAAATTAGGTTATCTGTTTGGGAACTGGGGGTGGAGGAGTAGCTGGATGGAAATGAAGGATGACTGCTAATGAGTACATGGTTTCCTTTTGGGGTAATGAAAATTTATTAATATTAATTGAGGTGAT